GAGTTGACACATAAGACTTGTCGAAAAGTTGGCCGACGATGAATCAACTCGATTTCAGCAGTTCTGCCAGAAGTGGTATCGATCCTACCGCTCGACAGCACGCACGTCACGGACGACTAACGTGAAACCGTTGCATGTATTACATATCGTACATACATGTACATGGGAATACCTATGTGGATATATCGCCCCAAGGAAAGGACTTCGAGGTGCACGACTCGAATCGATACTCCTTACGTAAGCGAATTTCCTTTATTTCCTGCCACGGCGCAGAGTGAACGATCGTCCCGAAATGCATCGGGCGTGCATCACCCTGCATATCGTGATTATCGTTATCGACGTATTGCCGTTTATTTCGCTCGTATTTGTGGCGCTACCAGGCCGATCGTTTCTTGGCCTCGCACATAACATTATCCTCACAGCGCATTTGAACTTTCGACGCATAAAACGAGCGCTATCGCCGGTAATTATTGCACCTTGTAATTCTGCAAGAACGGCGTGCATTGTTCCTCCGAGTGGAAAGTTATACGATATCGAATCTCAGGAACCGATGCTCTGAATCTCTCCATCTAAACAATCAACACTATATGAATAACGTCTACATTCTCATCAAATAAACCTGAATTTTATTTTCGCCATTTAAATTTCACTAGTACCCAAGAAATATTCTCTTAATTCCAAGAATAATTATTTTACCCAGATAAATTGTCACAATTCCGAATAAATGTTGCATCCAATTAATTCCAGGTTATTGGAGTTAAATAATTATTCCTTTAATTAACGGGATGTCTCTTTGGTTCAATTACTTTTCTCTTCGGGGCATTTTGAGTAGAGTAAATTAAGAAATCGATATTTTCTATATAATATTCACAGATTTATAGTTACTATATATATATGCATTTACTTACGTTCTAAACTGCAGAGAGGCGGCCCTGGATCCCGAGTCGCAGTAACCGATCCCTTGGTATTTATCTGTAAATATTAATATCAACATTTTAAACCGTTTGTCCAATAATTCCCTCTAAGAACGAGAATGCATCCCGACGTATTTTAAGGCAGGATCAATCGAAAGGCCAGCGGTGGAGTAAACGCAGACCGAAGTCACACGCGATCCGTTCGCAAAGGCGATCCAGCAGTTCTAAACTATGCCAGGGTCTCTCAACTTTTCCGGAATGTTTCCCCGGGCTCGAAGGCGACAGTCTGAAGTATCTCAGCGATTAAACCGTCCTTGAAGTCGCTCAACAAACTCGATTAATTAGTTAACCTTCGTCCCTCCCAAAGCGATGCTTATTACCGCTCGCAAAACTACTAACCGTAACTAATAACCAAATTTCACGGTAATTCGGCCCCAACTTCAAGCCTAACTCCCTCTATCGGCATTCCTTAACTTGGTAGCTCAAAGAAAGAGGCGATAAAAACGGTGCAATTACCATCTACACTATTTGCGCATTAAAAAGGAAGCACTTCGCAGCTCCTTTGCCGAGAATCTGCGCACTTCGTTCGGTAAAATAGAATTTACGGGCTTAAGTGGGACTTCGCTGATTAACCGTCGGCATATAATCGACAGTTATTTCCTTAAGAACTAAAGGAGACGTTAAAGTGCTTTAATTGCGAGCCAGGGTAAACCGTTTCGTGGCGAATGGTGTCGTATAAACGTGAAGTCCATCTTGAAGTTCTAGCCGCAGCAGCGGCTCTCAAAGCGCTCGAGACGCCGACTGTCGGCGAGGGAGGGGAACTCGCTGGGCGGTGACGATGACTCGAAAAGAGTCGCCTGTAAAACGAGCAAAGGGAGCCCAAGTGTAATGGTTCGACGCGACATGCTTATATAACCAATGTACTGGCCTTAAGACTCTCGAGACTAGGCGCTCGCTGCGAACGCAGTCTGGTTTTTTAGGCGCGGCCACAACGACCGGCAACCGCTCTCAGTGGAAATTTCCATTGCAGTTGGTAGAACGGCGTGGGTACAGTCGGCCGCAAAACCTGTGGCCAGACCCTCACCATATCTGCATTGGCCCTGGCCTGGTGGCGACTATTTGTGCACCCGCGTGTACCTAGCCAATGAGCAACACCCGCTTTTCGGCAGTTCTCGAAAAACAAGGAATTGAAAAAATCATTCCAACTGTCCATCCACAGATATTTAAACGTGATTATCGAAACTTATCTTTCTGTAGGAAAAAGGACATGCATTTCTTGTAACGGAATAAAAGACGCACGCAGTTACGATCGTATTTGTTTAGTTTGATACCTCTTTATTTAAGGACTAGAGATATTTAGATTTATTTAGGAAATTAATACCAGTCTGGGATTAGTGTTAAGCTATTTGACGATTAATTCTTTTAGAAAAAGATTGGATAAGTGCGAGAGTGACGTTTTGCGCAGAGGAGAGTGCGTTGTCATTAGTGATTATTATCCTCGTGGTGTTTGTCGAGAAAGGGCAAAGAAGTATCAATAAATAAATATTTAAATTGAATGTGTATTATTTCTAGCGAGCGATCGCGGTATTGTAAACTCAAAAAGAGGACGCCAAGACCTGCAGAAATAATTTATTCACTTGGGGATTGTTGTTAAGATAGCTTTTTAGCTTTTGGAAAGTAACACCGAGGTCGGTGCTTTTGAAAAGGTGGGTATTGGCTTCTGTAGAACTTATTGGAAGACCCGAAGAGTGAATCCGATGTTGTTAATTGGTATTGTTAATTAATTGGAGCGAAAAAAACCCCGGCGTTCCAATTGCTCCTCGATTATGTCAAGCTGCTACTCGAGTGATCGATCAAAGATCGATCCAGACACGTAATCAGCTTCATATTCATTGGTACTAACATTGTTGATTTTGGCCTTATTGGCTGCAAAATAAAAACTATATTGCACAATTATGCGATAGCGTCGCTTTTCATAAATAGCGAGATTATAGTTTACATCATCGTAGATTCAGATTGCGCCGCCTATTGACACGGTAATCGATGGAGCTGCAAGGAAAAAAATGAAAAATCATATTTAGTATCGGATCTCTTATGACATTTCAATTGCAACACTATAATAGTCACGCGGAAGTTCCATTTTTAGTACGTCCTGATTTACAAAAAGCAAAATGGCTGCCCTATGCTTTTCCACTTCGCTTTTATTTTATATCGTGCAAGCTGTTCATAAGGCTCGTTGGGAATGAAAAGGAACTTGGGTTTTGAATTTCATCCGTGATATGTATCCGATATGTTTGAAATCAGGGCAGCATTCCGTGAAACGTCGGCAATTCGATACATGTCTTCGATTAAACGCTGACCAAAGAATAAAATGTCAGCACGCTCTGTGGGAGACTCTTAGAACTAACGAGATCATTCCAGGAATCCATTCGAAAGATCTGAAAGAAATACATTGATAAGTTTAGGAGCAAAAGTTGTATGAATTAAGACGTTGGTTATTTTCTCCGTATCACTTTCATTGGGAAAAATATGACTGCTATATTTAGAGTATGTACGTCATGAATTCTCGTAACTTTTGCTTCGAGTTTTCATTCCGGGCAGATTAGAATGCGCGGATACTTTGTAACTCGTGGCGCCATCTTGCGGTCGGGGAGCTGACTTTCACTCTGATACCAATTTTTCCATTTTACTGATCCATGTACATACGCACTATTTCCATAAGAAATAACAAAAAAAAAAGAAGATTACAAATCTAAATAAATTCTTAAAAGAAATATTGCAGCGAAATGAGTTCAGATTTTGAATATTTGAAATAAAAAGATTTATTATATGATCTAAATTGATGTAAACGTGTTCATATTGTTAGGATGAAGTCGCTTCGCTGTTGTTTGTCTGAAAATGTCATAATTAAATCGGGGCACAAATTGGTTTCTTAAATCCCTCTCGTCCTTTCCCGTTCGTCCTTTTAATCCTGAAAATTGTAATATTAAAAATGCAGCGCCATTTTTTAAGGACGTATTCAATCTTCACGGCGCCATTACATCCTATTGCGCGGAGTAAGTACCATTTGGTAAAGAAATGTTAATCCTAACCTGAGAGTTTTACCAAAAAAATGTTAATATTTTCTAGGAAACCATTCCACCACTTCTTACCCCGTGGTGCTGACAATTTTTGATAGAATTAAAAGGAGACTTGGCTTCGGGAAAAGTTTGTACTACCGATATAGATAATACGACGCGCCTTTGACATGCCATTATTTTGTCATTTCAGAAGAGGTAGAGAATAAATCGGAGACGCCAAATCCAAATATTCAACAAACTGAAGACAACAATTGGTACGGTCAGCAGGAAGGATATTCCCAAACAAATTCTGGATATCCTCCAGGATATCCACATCCTCAGCACGATCGTTCTCGACGGGAATAGATTCTTTTTTTTATTTTTATGACTTATTTCACGTACTGTCGCCTTCTTATTTATTGCAGGTGCAGATAATATCATAAATGGATTAACAATTTTATATCCTGATTGCGCGTTTTTACACGTCTTATTTCTACTGTCAATTTTATGTACCGCTTAAGACTTCATTTATAAATGGTCAGACTTATCTGTCAATGCAATGTTAACACACTTTTAATAAAAAAAATTGCTTAACTATTCGTAGTTGTATCTCCATTCTATATCAAGAAGACTGATATCGGCTCGTTTATTAAATCGTTAATGCCATGGAAACACTGCAGTACAGTATTGCAGTAGAAGACATGTAGAGTAAGACGCACATTTACTTTCGAGTACTTCTTAACGAGACATAGACATTTTTAATTGTTTGTAACTTGATGGTGTACTTCGTTGAGAAAGTGTCACAGAGGAGGAGGACGGGTCCTAAGTACTTGGCTGAAAGATTATTATAAATAAAAGGGATACTAAAGGCATCTATATGGCATTACATGACGCCATACACCGAAAATGGAGAATTGCGATTGCAGATTCCCAAACGTCATCCGAATCATCCGAAATCATTCGAAGTGCTGGCTGCGATGCAGCAATCGAGTACATGCTAAACATTCTGTCCTCAACTGTTGAGAAAATGAAATTAACGGTAATGAAATTATCCTCTTTCATAAATTGTGTATAAAAAAATAGTCATTATTTGTAGGTCTGTCTGCCAGTACTGATTCATCAAGAAATCTTGTCAGATATATTAAGCTCTGATGAGATATGCTTGCTTCGAGAAATTCGGGAACTATTCCAGGATGGACCTGATAAGATAGAGGAAGTGAATGTCTCGACTGATTTGAAATTAAAGCAGATTCTCGAGGTATGGTTATTTAACAAAAATCATGTATCCACATTTAAGCAGAATAAAATGATAGGGAATGTAATTCACTGGAATGTCTTTATAGATTTTTAACAAATATCCGAATATTCACACTATGGCGGAGGGTTTGTTAAAAGAGTGTTCGCCGGATGGTATTAGCATGATCCATAATTTGAATTTCTTTAACAAACTCATGGAGGCCCGAATAAAAATGATACCTCAAGAGAAACGTAATCGCAAGAAGAAGGCGTTAAAATCTCTTGTGGACTTGAAAAAGGCGGAAGTGGATGTGGAAAGTATGTTAACGAATATTAACTACCTGTACATATGTTAACAGTTAAATTCTAATGCGTATTTATACATTAAAATACGAGAAAAGGAATTGAAAAGCGCGGTAATTAAGGCCAACGCCCACGAAAATTCTTTCCCAAGTACTGGAAGAACATCTCTCATATAAATGCCTGGTTTTTATTAATGTTCATTCCCCGTGTAATTCCCAGCATTGCAAGCGAATCTCGATAAGCTGAGGTCGGAACACTTGGAATTTGTGGAGAAAATTTCCGCCGAAATTGCGAGGGACGAGTCGATAATTGCAGAAATTAAAAGAAAGCACAAGGAAGAGATTTCGGAAGAAATGTAGGTACTTAAGAATAATCCTGTCGGATTTAATTATTCTGCGATTCAATTACGAGGGTAACGTTTTCTTTCAGAAATAATTCCGAATTTGAAATGCTGGAGACCTATAAAAAAATGAGAGCAAAACAGGATATCGTTCAAGACGAGCTTAATGCATCCAAAAAGCTCCTTCACGATCAGATGGAATCGAATTTGACTCTTGAAAAGGAGCTGCACAAATTGCAGTAAGTATTTTACAATTGTAATCAAGGTTGCACGATTTTATTCCGTAGATTACAGTAATAATAATGTCTTTTAAATATAGCAGGCAGGTGGAAAAACGATTCCTGGCCATTTTGGAGGAGTACGATTCAGAGATCGGAGAACGACACGAAACTATGGAAAAATTAACTGCAAAATCCAATGGGTTGAGGGATGATCTTGAACAATTGAGGGTAAGCGTTTCCAATATTTTCCCAAATTTGGAAAATCACTTTCATTCGTTACCCTAATTGCACATGAACTTGCGTGAAATTTTTCAGAAGGAGTATGCATCCCAGGAAATTATTTACAATAATTTGAAGGAGGAAAAGGAGCTGGCCGAAATGAAAGCCTTTACAGAGAAAATGGACCGTTTTAAGGAGAACAGAGCTGCAAGGATCATCCAGAGAGCCTGGAAGATGTATCTCGAGAGAATGGCCCAAAAGAAGAAGAAGAAGTCGAAAAAGAAACAGTAACATCCTGGCAACATTCGACAACTGCGCAAAGATTTGATCATGGATTTCGGCCTTATCACCTGCTATCAGCTGATAACGTCCCCTGATTTCATTGACTTTTCCCTAGACCTCGAGATTGAAGTTCGGAACAACATCTGGGAATTTCTATTATTTCTAAACAATCTGTCACCGTTAATATCAGTAATTAATCACGACGCTTGACTGGAAAATCTATCATATTGACTTTTGGTGTTAATTACTGGTCTCGGTCTTTAAAAAGGACATTGATATGCAGTTAAGCCTTCGAGCAAAATCCCATTCCGGATTTCCATTCAACTTGGAATTGAATGCAATTCCCAATACACGTTTCACGATTCACTGTTTAACTCAGAGTTCAGTACCGGCACTTGGAAAAAAATGTTGAAAAAATTCCTCCCTTCCTCCTAAATAATCCTCCCGCTTTTCCTCGAGTCTTTTCAAGCCTGAAGATCGCCTCGTTGATCAATATTTATTTAATAAACTATTACACGTCCAGATCTCGAATGTAGGGTCGGAAGGAGAGGCTTTATTAAAAAGCACTTTCTTGAAATCTCTCTACACACGTTTCCAGTGAAGTGCCCTCGTCTCGTCGGCATGGTGTCCTCAAAATCGCAGGGGTAGAACCGCCTGGCGCATGCTCTGAGATATTTCGCCGGGGTGATATTCAGTCAGGCAAGCCAGGCTCGAAGCGGCCGATCATTACGGGGGAAACTGTGCCCGGGTGCTCGACGAGGTCTACTAGAGGTTTTCCTGGCGTTTCCCGACACCTCTTCCGTGGCCAAAATCCGCAAACTCGCCTTCGGGGATCTCCTACGGATAGCAGGGTCCTATCTTGAAGATCTCCTCCCCGAAGAAGCAGGTTTGAGCGGATTTTCGACTAATCCTTCCCTCTCTTGACTCGCACCCTTGGTACCACCTGTAGCACGTGAAACTCGATATTTCGGAAGCTCCACCGTGCTCCAGGAAACCGGGGGATGAGACCCTCGGGGAGTTTGACGATTCCTCGCTGAAGTGCTTTCGTTTTCCACCCTCTGGTGCTGTGGCTCTAATTGTTGATCCAGTGGTGTCTCTGGTTGAATTCTCTAACTGAAAAAATGGCTGATCGAGGAGGCTGCGGCATCAGGAGCTGGGATTAATTAATTCTCATATTAATACAAATAATTCTCCTTTACATGCATTTGATTGTTCCATGAATTCGTCATGGCTCCAATTGTTGCTCCAGTGTTCCCTTGTTGCTTTCCATCCCGATGGTTGTCTTCCACGACCTGAAAAATGGTTGATCGAGAAATCTGCAACATACTCAGGGGTTGGGATAAATTATACAAATAAATTCACCTTTATATATAATCGGTCGCTCCATAAATTCTTAAATAAACCTGGTAAAGATTTATTTACTTGCAACGATTAATTACTAACGTGTTGTCCAGCACTTATCATTTCTTGTCACCTTCGTCTAAGTCTCCGTCTAAGCGTTAGCTTCGATGGAAATTTGCTGTAAAAGAAAAATCTCTTATAGAACGACTTAGCATATTAATTTTTTAGGGAAGATTATTTCTCCTGTATATTTTATCTAGGTAATGTTTATCCTGGGTAATCGCGGGCGATATGAGAAAGTGTGGATTTAAGTGAATGCCGGGGGAAAATATGAATTTTATGTGATCAGGGGAAGTGAATCGCGCAAGGGGTGGCTCGTCTCGTTAATCCTGTCCACGTGTCGGTAATACAATTGATTAAGAGCTTTTCAGCGTTTTTCTGCATTTCCGTTTGTATTTCTGCCACCGCGATTTTTCAGGGTAAGTCTATTAAGGGACGAGGGGAGAGATCCGAGAGATGGAAATATCGTTCGTGAAAGTGCACGACACGAAACCCCCGTTTATTAATTGGCCTCGGTAATAGCCTTCGCGTATTTTTAGCGCCCGTTGTTGCACCTTTTTCACCGACTGTGCCCGCGCATAAACAAATGAGTTCTTTCGACCGCGGGAATAAACAATCGATCGTCCACAGACTAATTCGACGACCCCCAATTTAGCGGGCTTTGACTTTTTATCGCCCCTGTAATTACGGGGTAGGAAGACATTCTGACACTTTCCTTTCGCGCCCCTAACGAGCGAACAATGCGAGCTTTGTTCCCCAGATCTAGCCATTGTTGGGAGAGCCATTAAGAACACGACGGGTCCTCGTGAATTATTTTCCAGGTTTTTGAAAAGAACCGCCACACTGTTAAAGAAAAAGTTCATGAAATTCATATACTATTAGTACATAAGGTTGCAGTAAAATTGTATATTGGATGCCTTAATAGGGAATTAGTATACATGAATTGTAAAATTCTAAGTGAATTTACTATTTTATAACACCGTGTTGTAATTCCTTGAAGTTACGGAGAAAAATTATAAATTTGATATTCGGAAGTCATTTAGTAGGTATTGTTTGGGAATTTTTTAGGTGAATTTTTCATTTTATTATCGTTCTCTTCCAGCCCAGAAATGGCCGACAGGCTGACTTTGAGTTTCCATTCGCCGATTACGGAACAGAAAAATCTCATGACTGGGACTCTGGAGGAGAGAAAAGAGGCTTTCAAGTGCGACGAGGAGCTCATGAGAGAGACCACGAGGTTCGTCACCGAAGTCATCGAGACTGCTGCCACGGAGGCTTCCAAGAGAAAACACCAGACCGAGGTGAAAAAATATATTCCACCCACATTTTCACTTCTTCGAGATAATTTTAAGGGGAAAGTACTAATGGAAATTCTTTTGATTCTTTTCTTTCAGGGCATGGAAATCAGCGAAGGTACTGTCTTTCAGAGTTTCAATGATACCATAACAATAGGAATGGTAAAATGAGTAACGATAACGGAGTGAAAATTAGCTGTTTTATTTTTAGAATGATTTCTCTTAATGTTGGCGCTTTTCTTATCAGAGAGCAGATTGAAAGCTGGAGATCGGATCGCTGGATGGAACCACCGAGCTCGCGGATTCTGCAACCGGATGTTAAACGCTATTTGCCCTTGCTTCACCAACTCTGGTAAATCGTAGACCATAGACGTAGAAGTCGACCGACATTAGTGGATCACGCACCCGAATCATCGTCATGACACCCATCGTGACATTCCGACATTTCGACACCGACAGTAGGTCCTGATAAGGTATCACTCTCTTCCGAGGGAATTCCGAGCCGCGGCTCTGGGCTTCCTTGGTTGATCAAAGAAGTCTTTCAATGAAATCGAAATATTGGGAAATTGAGACGGTAACGCCGAATTCTAGTGAAATTGAACTGGGGATACCGAATTCTAGGGGAATTAATACGGGAACACCGAATTATCCGGCTCGCGAGGGCCATCGAATGAAAGGCAATCGATCCAATTCATTAATCGACGGGAGTTCAAAATGTTTATCAAAAGGTAACGACGAGCTGAGATATCGTTGAAAGTATTGAGAAAATTACCCGATATTTAGTACCTCTGTAGGAAAATTAGATAATTATCGAGGGACTATCGAAATGGATTTTTCAAGCTGCGGTTATTATAGGGATGAACTCCTGGGCGATAAGAGAGAAAGAAACGCTCTGGGCCTGAAAATTGAAGGAGTATTTTCACCCCAATGGATTGTTCATATCCATCTCATAATGCCTTCCACTTCGCATAAACCATCGCCAGTTACTTATCTATCACATTCACAACGCATCGCCATATTCTCGACACCCTTTGCCCTGATAAGGCGAGACAATGCACCTCACTGCACTTTTCAGTGATTTCTTAGATTTTTCTTCACTTAGAAATGCTCCTTTCCTGTCTAAAAAATGGCCCCGAGTTTTATAAACAATGTTCCGACCTAAATTGAGCCCTCTTTTCTCTGGAGTAATTCCACCATGAGATGGGAATTCTCAAAGTAGAATGTACCGGGCGCATCCTTTCCAAAAATACTCGGCTCCGGGTGACAAAATTACTCTCCCTCGAGGGCTCGTTTTAACTCTCGAGGAATCTCTCCCTTAGCTTTTGGGAAAATTCCGAATCGTCTTAGACGTAACTGTGCCAAAGGAATTAATTCATACTAGGTCTAAGACCGATTTGAGTTAACATTAACGGGGATGCGAAAGTGACATCCGAAATGTCAATGGTTAATGAAATTTTTCTTCCAAACTTTACAACCCGAATATGGAGACTATAAGGAAGGGCCTAACGCCCTTGAAATTTCTTTTTTTATACGACATTTCTTCAATGTGTATAAACAAATGTTTAAAAAATCGAACTTTTATGGCCCTCAGGACCTTCCTTATACCCTCGATATTTATATTGTCAAGTTTGGAACGATTCGGTACACTGAAATTTCATAAAAGAGACCTCTTTGAGAGAGAGACCCCACCTTAAAGTGAAAATATAGTGGAGCCTATTTTTTAATTTTTATATTTCGCGTAAAAGAATTAATTTACTGTCGAGATTAATGAATGAGGACTTCGAAGGGACATTTAGGAAGGAAAGGACGAGGAGATCGAGGAATCTGAATTTTGGAAATCTATTCTTTCCGTAGAATTATTCGCCTGGGCTCCATACCGGTATCGGTTCACGAGACCATAGCAGCCGGCCATGTTCCGGAAGTTGAGTAAGGACGGGACGATGGTTTAGCCGAATTTAAGGTACTCCTATAAAAGCTTAGACGAGTGATTCTGCCAACTGTCAATTCGAGGCCCAAGGTATTCCCAGAGGAATAGCCACGGACTTGCAGACTAGTCACCGTAGACGTCCCACGCAGCAAAAATCGAGAAAAGGGGCCCGAAAGAAGGTCGCTCGCATGGCAGACCGACTCGAATTAATATAAACTAATTAACTAAAAACTTAATAGATTAGTCAAATTAAATGATGACGAATAACCGAGGCCGGGGCGACTTCTAGCTGGATTTAAATGGCCGGGAGATTTAAATGCCGGCTAAAAAAGACGAGGGCCAAATCGAGCGACCGTAGGAGCTGCATAATTATTCCTTGAAGCCGTGGATGTCTAATTACTGTGATTAAGACCGAGGGGAATAAATAGTTCTAGACGAGAGCCGTCGATTCCGCTGGTCCGGAGTCGCCGATGTCCACACAACTGTACAGATATACAATACAGGTCGCGTACTCGCGTACGCGCGGATTTTATTTTCTACAGACTCAGCAGACCTGTGTAACCTGACATAACTATTCGGACGGCTTGCCGCACTTAGGAATGTTAAGCAGAATTTAATTAAAAGTGCTCGCGATCGCACTGGACGTACCTAAAAATTCACGACGCTCGGCCGGTCCTCGAGTCGCTCGACGGAACGATCTTTATAAATTCTCCCAAAAGGTCAAGACGTACCAAAATTCCAAATTTTCATTCCACACTTACGGATAACAATTCGACCGATCTGGATTTTTTTAATTTTTACTCGGATGCTGGAAATAAATTTTTTTTTTTTTTCTTAGTCGAGCGTTTCGAGTCTCCGCGGTGCATCGTTGGGCGAAACATGGAATTGATCGTCAGGAGGATGAGGGGAAAAGAAATCGACGAGTCTGGAGGAGAGGTACTTTTTTCTCTCCCCAAGAATCGGGAGTCTGAATCGCATGTATATCTGTGGTCAGCAATAAATGTGTTCTAAGAGGAAATCAATAATTCCGTGTTTCGAGCTTCGCTCGCGAATGTGCAGCTGCATGTGCGCCGCAGTATAGAGGTTGTATCAGTGTCAACAGGCGAATGTACGTGCATTGACCTAGAAAATCGGGCAGCGTGTAATGTACGTGTACCTCCGATAAAAATGTCTAACGACTTAGGGAACGCCGCCGGATATTTTTGGCCGATGAATAATGCATCCGATATTTTTGGATGGCCGAGCGTAATGCCGAGGAATTCGGCGTATCGACTCCCATTTAGTCGGGATTTATTTATATTCATTTATGTACTAAGGGAAGCGAGTTGCGGAAAATTCACCCATCGTGTACTACCTATAGAAAATTATCAGTACACTTGTTCGAAGGTTTTAGGGCTTAGAAGCCCACAAATGGAATTTTTTAAAATTTTTCCTGCCATCTTTTCATCAATTTTGTCCCTTATGGCTCTGATTCATTTTAATTGAAAAAGGAGAAAATTCCAAAAATTTATTAGAAAAAAATTAATCTAGCGTGCACTTATTACCATTTTTGGGGCGTAAAATTCCTCGAGGGGAATGTGTTCAATTTTATTTTATTTTAGCGTTTTCAGCAATTTTTGTCTTTTTTTCGGATGGGAATTTAATTTTCCGTAGAAGGAAAGTATTAATGATAAAACGGAATTGGAAGCAAATCATGAGTTTTTCACAAATGTGCCACTGAAGAAATATGCTGCCGTGCACATCATGCAATTTGCAGAGCAATTAGTATTAATGTCGCATAATCGTTTACCTCCCTGCGAGGATGCCGATTGGTATTTTCGTATTTAGTTGATAAGCGATAAGCCCGTTCGTCGTTTTCAATTAATTTCCGATTCTTTATATATACACGTATGTATTGGTTGAAGGAGTATATATATATTGATATATATCTAATTTCATCCGTCCTGAGCCCGAATTTTCCAAGGACTTATAAGTTATCATATGAACGAGTCACTAAAATTGTGTAATAATTATTGATAATTATCGACAATCCACCGAATGCTCATTCAGGTTCGCGATATCGCCGACCAATTATACTTTACGTCTTCGTACTCGATGTCACATTTCCGAGGAACGATGTAATGATTTGATAGATATTTTCGTAAACCAATCAGCCGGTGTCCTGACTATTGGTAATTAATTAAGTGACTCCGAAATGGAAACTCAAGGGCACACTGCGTACCTTACTGATTTTCGTCAAGGGATCAAGTAAAGGAAAGATATTATCCAAAAGACAATCAGGTGAAAGGGCGAATCTTTTAGGTCGGGTCAAAATCAATCTAAATGGCTGGAATATTCTAATAAGTATTTTCCCGCTAAGAGGCGAAAGTGAAAATGAAATCCCATATTTTTAAGTACCTCCGGTATATTTATTCGAATATTGTACCGAGCGGTGTATACTGTATAGTGTAACGATTGATGTATGTTAATAAATGTATATTCGACCGAATTTCCAGACTTTATTCCACGATTAATTCCCCACCGGATAAAGAGGAAACAATTAATTCTGCGATTTAGGAACGTCATGTCACGATGTCATTGTCAAGAAATGTATGGAAGTTGCCTTGGCAACCATTATAACGTCGTCACGGAAACTTGGAGGCCTAATAAAGCTCTTTCGCGTCATTGTCTCTACCTCTTCTAAAAAATACAGTGCCTTACATTGTTTTTTTTTTTCTCTTCGATATATTAATCGATTTAGAATTTATTGTCAGAACCGAAGTGACAGACTCAAAAAGGACAATTTCACTCGTGATGAAGTCATTGAGGAAGTGGCTGTCCTTTTTAAAAACGGATTTTTTAATGAAGGTCTGAACAAGGACCGAGTAGAAAGAGTAGTTAATGAAATAGGTTTATTAAAAAGTGACGTTTAGTAAAAATGGACGAAAAACCGAGGTGCACGAGTGACTCAAAAAACAGACCCAGCAGTAACAGGACCATGTGGTGTCACAGTAAATTTGACGTTACAACTCGATCACTATTTCCGAAAATCTGTCAAGAAGAGCCCCCAGGAAGTACAGCGCATTTAATTAGCCCCTGTTTATCGAGAAAACCGAAAAAAGACGTGCACGAAAAATCGTGTAAAGCTTCAAAAAGGAAGTATGTCGACAAGTCTCCTCTGGATGGTCCTTCGAGGGAGCCTTTTTTTCACGAAGAAGGAATTTTTGGATCGCCTCTGCCAGTTTTGGACATTCCGAAGGTTAAGGTGCCTAGGTAAGACGGAAACACATTTTTAATTGACAGGTAATTTTATCATAATTTACCAAGGGGACGTTTTTTTCTAACCGATTTTTCCCAGCTCGGAGGTAATTTTGTTAGAATTTTCCGAGGGAGATACTTTTATCGAATATTCTTTGCCCGATTTTTCTTCAGGATTTTACGAAGCAACTGGTCCAAAGTGCGGAAAGAAAAGGAGATGAATTTTAAGATGAACTGTTACACATTGCTGAAAAAGAAACGCGAGGACTTCCGACAGTCCCTCATTGAACTGATAAGGGAAAAGGAACACGAAATGTTGGACTCTTCTCGAGAAGTCCAAGAAAATTGGGTGACCGAAGAGGAGAAGGAACTCCTTAGATATTATTATTACATAATGCACGGGATCGATGACGTCCACGTGGCGCCGATTGACATCGAAGTGCTCGATAGGATTTTAAATTTGGTCCCGTTTGCGTGGAGAACAAAGTTCCAGGAAATGACGAATAAACTAATAGAAGATGCAAAAGAGGACTATGCAACGAATGTGAAAAAATCCATCGTGGATTTTATTCTGCAAGATCCATTATTGGCCGACTCGAAAGACATATCTGATGTGAGATTTCTAAGTTTAAGTTAAAATGTATCAACTGTCGGAAAGCGTCAGGGCAATTCAATATCGCTCTCTTTCGTTAGTTTTTTGAAGTTGGAAATCTTCTCTCGGGAGGAATATAACATTTTTCTTTTTCTAAACGAGGGATCCATTTTTCCAGACTCCCCGGTCCAAGGAAACTTTGGAGATCAAACATTTCCCTCCGGACTTCAACGCGAGATATCGAAAAGCCAAACGGAAACTTCAGAAGACCCTTTGCTTGTACAACCCCTGCATACATAAAATTCTAGACTTCTGGTATCGCGAGTTTGCGTAAGAAAAAAAATGATAAAAAGTTCCTCTCGAATATAAGTATATAAGAAAAAAAGGATATACTGAACATGACGTTCGTTAAAGGAAAGTTTTTAATTGGGCAGATCGATGAGACTCTTTGAGAGGCATAAATTGGAAGCGCATAGCAAAACTTTCGACCTTACTGCCTTTCAACAGGATTTTTCAAAAATGGTATCCAAGGCTAGGGACGCATTAACCAATGTTTGGCTGCCAAAATTACACAACATTCTCATAGCGGTATAAATAATTGAATACTATTCCTCGTTTTCCATGGATCATTATAATTTATAAATATTAATAGGGGATGAAGAAAGGCCTCGTACCTGACGAAACTAACGAACTGAAAATGGGCAAATTTTATAATTGCATCGCCTCGATTATGGAAAGTCATCTTCATAATCTTTGCCTAGACTCAATGGAAGACTACATGAAATATCTCCTAGACGTTGGTGTAAGTTGAAATTCAAGTGCTGAGCTTAAATAACTATTTCTTCATTTCATTTTGTCACACTTCTAGTACTCGAATTGCGGATTCAATCTTAATGTCGCAATGAGGAATCAAGTCATCGGGTTCGAACCATCATTTAAAATTATAGGAGACACGTTAATAGCATTATTAGGTTCTCTGTTCGAAGCTGTATCTGGATTTCCTCGTTTGGAAACAAAAGTATATGATAAGGATCCAGAAAGAGCCAAAGTCCTGAAGGTACTTCACAAGGATATCTAATTCACCCAAAAATCGATCAATTCCAATTAAAATAATTAAACCAAGGTATAGAATGTATATCGTGAGA